TTGATCTTAATTGAATACAGAGTTTAAAATAAAAAGTTAAGTTTAATAAAAATAATTTAGAAGTTATAACAAAATATTTGTTTAACATTTGAAGACAATTTTTTTTTTTTTAAGTAAATATGTATTAACGTAAACTTAGGTTTGACTGTCTATATAGAGAAAAAAAAAATATTATTACATTATCAAACTTATAATAATAGAGTATCGATACGCTTTGGATTTGATTTTAGTAAGCAATATACCAAATTTTGTTTAAAATTGTACAAATAATTCATAAACAACAAAAAAAAATATAACACGAGAAGTTTAAGGTAGAGTTATTGTAACTATGAGTCAATGTGCATAAATAAAAAAAATCGTAAATTAATGTAAATCTACGCGAAAATGTATTTATCAAATTTAATTGGGTTTTTTTTTTGTGTGGTTGTGTGGATCGTTCCTATAGTTACTAGATGTGTAGCTTCTAACGCCCGAAATTAATAATCAATCCTGATCCAATTTTAGCTATCTAAGATTGATATTTTAATCTATTTTGTGGGTTAAGCGTGCCAATAAACAATCTATGCATTGAGTTTGCTATCTTAAAAATCAATCTATCTTACAGAGGGCGGATCACAGAAAAACGATTGGCCTCTGTTCGAAAATGACAGTTTGCGCGTGTTAATAACCTATCTGTCGATTTTGACATTTCGTTTTGATCGCTGGAAACGATCGGGATTGCAATCCAAGAAATACCGGAGATTTCGTCACAGCGTTATTTTTATTAAAATAAGAAAATGGAAATATCGATATTTTACAGTGATAGTGATGACAGTGATTTGGAGGTGCTGGCTCAATTATCCGATTGGGATACTGATAGCGAATCTGAAGATAGACACCGCGCTTCTTCACGAAAAATTAGAAGGTTGAACTACATGCAGAGTCTGGATGATGCCGAGTTCATGTTTAGGTTTAGGTTATCCAAACCTGCTTTCAATTCGCTATTAATAAAATTGATGCCGTTTATTCGTGTAACCTCCACAAGGTAAATAATTTTCGAGATAATGTAAAACATTACATTAAAAAAAAATTTTTACTTTCAAAAGATAGTACTTAACCTTACTTTATTTAGTAATTAATGGTTTTAAAATTTCAGGAACAATGGGGTTTCGCCACTTCATCAACTTTTATTGACATTACGATTTTATGCGTTAGGCACGATGTTAATTTCTGTAGCGGACTTTGTTGGAGTATCAATATCCACAGCAGGGAGAATAGTTCGTGATATATCATCAGCAATTGCGAACTTATATGATGAATACGTTGTAATACACCAACAAAGTGCTGAAAAATTCTACCATATTGCAGGATTTCCTAGAGTTTTAGCTGCAATTGATTGCACTCATATACGAATCCAATCGCCATGTGAGTATTTCCTAATATTATACAGACTAAAATTGTATATTTTCTCTTCATAAATATCATATATAAATAGAACATACACTATTCTTCTATATTAGACATGTGTTAGGAAGGTTGGCTCAAAAGGGGAAGAACTGCACTCACAGAAACAGAATACCATTGTTAAATATGCTATGTATATAAAATGTGATAACAAGGCATTTTGTGTTAGTCCTCAGGCGTGACAATGCATCTACATTTTAATTTTAAATGGAGAGCAGATGTAGGTCTGTGGGCAACAGCATTTTCTTACCATCAGGTGAACTGCATACTTGTTTGACACTTATTCTATATAAAAAGATACATTAACTATGATTTCTTCTAGGTCATGTAATTGGTGAAGAGTTTAGGAATCGTAAAGGTTACTTTTCCTTAAATGTCCAGGCAATCTGTGATGCTGATTTAAAATTCATGAATGTGATTGCCCGTTGGCCAGGCTCGACACATGATGCCACAATATTTAACAACTCAATTCTCAGAGGTTTCTGACTGGTTTAATAGTTTTATTTGCTTTTGTTATATTTTAATGTTATCAAAATGTACTTAATTAAATATCTTTATTTACAGCCCAATGTGATGCAGGTCTGTTTGGTAACCGTTGGATGCTTGGTGACAGTGCTTACCCAAACAGGCCATATTTACTAACACCTCTTATAAATCCTGTTACTGAAGCTGAACAGCGCTATAATGAAGCACACATAAAGACTAGGAATATTATTGAAAGGTAGCTATTTTGTTTAGATCTTACAAATATTAGGTATTTTATTTTTGGCAGGAAACAGGAGGTTCTCAATTCTACTATAAATTGTCATATATATATATATATATTATCGGGTGTATTCATAATCATTTTTAAACAGTTCATTAGTTAAAAAGTGTTTTGTCTCATTCTGACATTTGCGAGATACTTGTTGCTAGAAAGTGACAAAACACTTTTTAACTAATGAACTGTTTAAAAATGATTATGAATACACCCGTATATCTTAATCAATTGAGAAATTACTTTAATGATGCTTTTTTATTTAATAGTTTATATTATGGATGAGGTGGTCCATATGAGGATAGTCTACTCGTAGTCATTGAGCTTTTAATGTTCTGTAACCCATTTAAAAAGGTCAATTCTAATATACATTTATCTTTTTCTCAGAACGTTTGGTGTCTGGAAGCGTCGCTTCCCTGTTGTGGCATTAACACTGCGTTTATCATTGCCTAAGGTTCAGGCAATAATAATTGCTACCGCAGTGTTGCATAATATTTGTAGGAACCACAACTTAGAGGAAGTTCCTTCAGAAGTGGAGCTGCCAATAGTGGAAATAAATGAAGATATGTACTTTTCGGAAGTTCAAGATGTCAGTGAAAGAGCAGCACTTGTAAATAATTTTTTTAGATAAATAAATACTTTTCAAATCAATGTTTGCTTTATTACATACAAATTTTAAACCTAAGTTAAACTTTATTTCCAAATTTGAGGTAAGGCTCTCAACAGTGAATCAATTATCAGTTTTAATCTTAAGAAAAAATAAAACAAAAAAAGAACAAGTACCTAAATCCAATTCCTGTCCTGTTTCATAATTAATATTTTTATTTGAAAAGATTAATAATAGAAAAGTAATTATTTTTATAATAACATTTTTATAATTACTTCATAAAAACACTACATTACTTCACAGAAAATAGAACTATGGGTTGACTAGTAGAGAATGCCTAATGGCATTAATTCTTTTGTAATAGGGAATGCAATAAATAAATATAAGAATATTTTACTTACTTTAATGATTATTGCATTAACACAAATATTCTAAAAACTGACACAAATCAATAAAAATATTGCTAAAAGCTGGTCAAAAATAACTTAGACCTTATAATTGTATGCATTTGCATTATTAAAGTATAGGTGTCAACAAATAATACTGTAATAAACATCTGCTATAAGTAACTCAGTTGAAGTATTAATGAAAATAGTCATTAGTAAGTTTGACTTACGCCGGTAGGTATTCGTTTTTAAAAAATGATTTTTTCATGATATGGTGACAAACGAGCACACGATCCACCTGATTGTAAGCAGTTACTGTGACCCAGACACCCATATCTATCCTCAATAAAGAATCAAAATGCAGATGCGTTGTCACCCGTGAGGACCAAGATGGAATGCCCCTTTTCAGTAAAAAGGGTCGCCAGTTCCCTACAGTCACCATACGAAACAGCAGTGTTAAGCTGGTATTCTGTGAGAGCGTGGTCCTTCCCTGGCCGAGCCGACCCATTCGTTCTACAACTATACTATTAATATAACTGCAGCATGGCTCTACCACATACAAATTACTATTATATTCACTGTATGCATATAAAATTATTTTCTACAAACTTTTTAAAAGGAGGAGGTACTCAATTCGACTGTATGTGTTACCCCAAAACTTTTTCTTAGTTGATGATTCGATTCGATGATTCTTTTTTTATTTGAAAGTTGGTGCTTCTCATGTGGTCCCATATGAATTTGATTAAGGTCGGACCAATAGTTTTAAGTTATTGAAAGTTTAGGAATTAAAAACAAGTACAAATTAAAGACAATAAAATCTGTCAAATTAGTTTATTCAAAATAATAGTATAAAAATAAACAATCATATGATGGTGATAAAATTTTTTATTTTAAGCAATTTCATTTAAATTCAATGTTAAAATATTATTCATTACCACTATATCATTTAGACAGTAGAAATAGAAACTTTTTTATTAAATGTAGATTATAAATAATACTTACTGAAATGTTTAATTACCACTGGTTCGGAAAAAACCTCTGTCCTGAGAAGAACCAGCAAGAAACCCAGCGGGAGTTAAAAAAATAACAGCTTAAAATCATATATGTTACACAATTAACAACACAAAACAATCATTCGACGGCTCCGTGGCATAGCAATGAGTTGCAACGCTTGGAGCCGCGGGTTCGAATCCCGCACTGAACAAGTATTTGTATGGCCTACAAATAATTGTTCCGGGTCTGGATGTTTGTCCCTGTGCGATATATGTTTGTAAACTGCCTCCACGATACAGGAGAAAATCTAGAGTGGGGGTAACGTTTTTAAAAAAAAAAATAGATTCTCACAATCACCTCAGGGGTTATTATCATCCATAAATTCCTTATAATAACCCTTTTTATACAAACATAGTTTAAAGTTTTTGAACTTTGAGCAAATCAAAGTTTGTATGTTTTCTGGGATTTTGTTATAAAAGCATATACATGTATATGTATGTGTGAATGTACATTACATTTTCATAAATGTATTGAGAGGCCAAAGTTAATATATTAATTTCCTTAAATTTTTGTCAAAGCGAATAGGTTTTAAATCATTGATTGCTCTTATGGCCCTCTTCTGTAAAACAAATATAAAATATAAAGAACAATTCTTTGATGGTTGGGTTAATAAGGCCATACATAGCCAGGAAACAATACCTACTTAGATGCCAAGTTTCCTAAATTTATTATACAATTACACTTATATATTCAAATTTACTACTACTAAACTACAGACTAAATAAGTATTATAATTATTATACTATACTAAACATTATTGCTGCTTTCTTAACCTCTCTAATTCTAATTTTAATTTCTCAGTTTCTAACTTAAGTTTTTCGTTATTCAAATTAAGCTCCAAATTTTTTAATTTTAAGTTATCATTTTCTAAATTAATATTATTTAATGTGGCATCTAAGCATTGTTTTTTGGCTGAATAATATTCTGCTATGGCTAAGTTCCTCGCAGTCCTGTTCTCATCTTTCTTCAATTTCTTTTTCACTGGAATATGAAGCAAATATGAGATCAATATAAGTGCACTCATTTCTGTTTTCATAAAATTTAGCATATAATAATATCATAGATGTATAATGGGGCTGTGTTTATAATTTAACTTTATCAAAGACGTCAGTGTTCATAAAATCCTGTCATCTCAGCTAGGAGACCAGTGTGAAAAATAAGCAATTATGCCCAAATCAGTAAGGTGGTTAAGATACTTTGATAAGATCATACCTATTAACATAAATCATTTATCTCATAAATAAAAGATCTTCCGCAAGTGATTATGCCTGACATAGTCTAATTTCCCTGTGACTTGCTCAGATGCAATTAAATAAGCCTTACATAAATAATCTTCAACAAGGTTAAATTAATAAATATTTTATCACATAAATGTAGAGAGTGAGGAAGGGCAAAACGTGAGGGCTAATCAAAATAAGCATTTATCATTCATAAATCCAAAATCGTAAAAACAACCATTACCTGCTCTAGGTGTACTAAATGTAAGCCTCTTGGTTTTATTCGGAGTGATCAAATTTTGGTCAACCACCTCTAATACTTGGTAATCAGCAACCACATTCTCAATACCTTTTTCATTACATAATGGTGTTGAGATTGTGGTTTCATTTAAGTCTGTAAAAGTCTGTAAAATTTGTGGTGTCTGCACCATCACATTTCCTAAGTTTTCACTATCACTTGTTCCACCTTCACCACTTATTAATTCACTTCATTTATATTTTATTTCGTGATATTTATCACGCGGGTACTTTATAAATATGGGCCCCCCATTTACTTGGGTATTATATTTTCATTACATTCATTTTATTTTACTGGTACATAAACTTTTGTTTCATCATACTATATCAAAGTAATACTGTACCTTGGGTTGTGCGCACAACCTTGAGGTCTACGTTTAAGTCATTTTAAAAGGACTCCAACAATTGTCACGGAGGAAAACTAAGTTCACACTATGATCCAATGAAGGATGTGACCTCTATGTACCATTATTAAGGGTAACAAATTTAAGACTTCTCTGGTCCCCAACAGTACTAATATGAGTAAACTCGTTCACATTTCATTTGTACTGAAGGTATTGTTCCCTAGTACCCGTTACTTCCGATTTTATCATCTAATCATGGAAACATACCCTGCTCGAGGACTATATGCTTTACCAGTGATGGACGTTCCCGTATCTCTCCATTACTTATTTTATGCAGGTCAACTTTCGTTTTATTTCTATTTATTTCTTTACTTTATGGTACTTACCAATACCTCATTATTTAATAGTACCCAAGATTATGGACAATATTCCTATACAATTCATAATAAATTTCATTTCCCTCATTGATAATACATTAAAAGTTATTCTACATTTAATCTTTTCCGAACAACCTTAAAATTAATCGGTTATTAGTTTTTCCAAACTCTCAGCTGATCAGGCTGATTGTATGTGGATATGCTAACCACCGACAATTTTCTTTACCTATGCCACACTTTCTACTTATACTTCTATCAATATTTTTCACTCATAATGATAAACTCCGTAACTTATCCATAAATTTACTTACGTCTTTTATAAATTTATATCATATAGTCCCGTATAATATTTAGTTACATCATTGTCACTTAGGGGTTGAGGCTCACAATATGGGCACAACAAATTTTAAATTAATTAGGTACTTAATTGTCTACATAATATAATGAGTTTCAAAATCATATAAAGCGAAGAAAATATTTTCATAATACACGCAAGTAAGTACTATTTGCCGAGAAAATATTAAATTATAATAGTTAAAAGTTTATGATTTAAAAGTTCAATAAATGTAAAATCGAAAGGAATAAACTACATTTCATGTTATGATACAGAACCAAGAAATACTAACGGGAACATAAGTCATCATGATACAGTGATAACACCAGACAGATCAAAATACAAATTATATTCTTAACAGCAATTTGAGACACCTTTGTTTTAAATTCGAAAGTAAGTACCTATATGAAACGTTTCCGATTGCATCGAACTATGATCAGATCACACGGTGTGATTTATACCTAATTTTAAGATGACTTGTAGAATATATTATATGTAATATGAATGCAACCTTAAAATGAGATTCTAAGAATTTTTTTTTTAAATTTACACAGAAACTTAGTTTTGTCGTTTATAGTTATAGTACATACATTTATTCATTGGCTCTAAAAATGTTAATTATATCACATACAAAAATTAATTGAAACAATCGCTGTAACGGCCATCGAGTTTACATATAAGAAAATATTAATTTATTTAAAACCTTGAAAGAAAAAAATAATTTTAATTTATCATAATATAACTTTAAGACAGTACCGTCGGCTTTTAGAACTAAAAATAAAACTAATTGTCTATAACCCTTTTTAAAATTTGGATTCCAAAAAAAATAAAACCGACGAAATGTGTCACAGTCTTAGATTATATAATATTATAGAATCTAAGGTCTCAGTGTTATTTAACTATAAATTATGGAGAAATCAAGTACGTAAAAAAATGTAATCTATTATGGTATTTCATTATATCATTCATTTTTTTTGACAGAACACAGTAATAAAATAATTTATACTATACATAACTGAATAAAAGTGAATATAATATCGTCTTATGCCTCAATAGAAGTGCCACATAAGTGTATATGTAACATAATTTATAATAGTGCGTTATAGTTTTTATTTAGAAATAAAACTAACAAAATGCTATTGAATCGTTAAGTGTCTGATAAATATTTTCAAATTTATCATATTATATTAAATACAAAATATTTAATAATAACTTAAAAAAAAATATTATAGCAAAACAACATGAAAATATCAATTTTTAAAGTTTTTAATGGAATATCAGTAGATTTAATCTCATCTTCCTTTACTTTACTATTAAAATTTATTATAACCACTTTTAGTTTGGTATCTAAAATTTTTCCCTTCAGGTTAACTCGATGCAATTTTTATTAAATATGCCCTAACTTCTTTTAATTACTCATATAACTAATCTAGAGAAATATTCATAACTTACCACCAATACGTAGAATACAGTACACTTTATATAATTTTACGAAATATATAACATAGTCAGGTGAAATTGCAATTGTTCAGTTCCTGCCTTATTGCTTCCCATTGTATTTTACACAATCATGGTCCCTTCTTTAGTCTGATAACCGCCCATGTTCTTGGTTGTTACTTTTCGTTAAGCGCGTACACCCAGTCACGCAGTTCAAGATAGAACACCATAACTCTTAATTTCTTCTTTGTTCTTTTTTGGCTCAATTTTCGCATTCTTCTGGGTGGTGCTCGCATGAATACAACTGCTTCTTTTCTTTTTAAATAGATCTGCCGAATCTTAAATTTTGATCTTTGGTCATGATATAAAAAATCCACTATTTGTTTTCCTCCTTCCTCGTTACTCGTCTTCATAGTACTATATATTATATATTTTAAATTTTAAGTCACTTTCAATAAAATAATTATTGTGGCCTCTTCTTGTATTCATATTTGTTTATTTTTCGTCACATCCGGTATTGCGTCCATTCCGTTACAATATATTTTTTTTAAATTGTCAATCCTCTTAAAAACTGTCCATTATTTAATTAAGTTTTCTTATAATATTTTTTCTTCTTTTTAAATAGTAGGCCCGGCGGTGCGCGTGCATTGTAGCAGCGCACCGCCTGGCAGGGTCGCCATGTAATGTTTGGACAAGCAGTAATTTAAACTCAGTGATGCAGTTTAATAATTCTCTCTTTATTGGGTTGGAGGAGACTTATATATAGTGGTTGTGACGTAGGTACATAGGTAGGGGGCAGGGTTTGTGTTACGTGGTTCCAGGTAGAGCCACATGAATGGTATCTTCTTCTATAAATATAATACGATATTACTGAACCAAATAGATGTTATTTCTACTCCTTATATGGAGTCCACGTTGAGTGATGATATCATTTAATATTCCTGTTATATTGTTTTATCATAGTACCGACACCACAAACTGATATCAATACTGAAATCAGGAGCAGCACCAACGGCTTTAAGTGTTTTCCCGAGGCATGGGGGTGAGACGCCGACAATTTCCTGACACCTGGTAGCTACTGTGGATCCCCTAACGAAAAAACTCAATATTGTTTACAACGCAAAATTCGTTACGTGGTAGAGCCATGCCGTAGCTACATTAGTAGTATAGTTGTAGCAAGAACGGGTCGGCTCGACCGGGAAAGGGCCACGCTCTCACAGAATACCAGCGTAAAATAGCAGCTTAACGCTGCTGTGTTTCGTATGGTAAGTGTAGAGAACCGGAGAACCTTTTTACTGGAAACGAGGCATTCCATCTTAGTCCTCACGGGTGACGACGCATCTGCATTTTGATTTGTAATCGAGAATAGATGTAGATGTCTATGCAGTAGATACCACAGCAACCACTTACCATCAGGTGGACTGTGCGCTCACTTGTCACCCTTATCTTATTAAAAAATACGCATCTTTGTTTTAACTTTCAAGTGCATTAGCTACTTGCCATATGGTGGACTGTCAGCTCGTTTGACACTTCAACCTTGAATATATATGTACAGATATATAAATATACAAGTACAGATATATCAAGTGGTTGTCTAGAAAATCTAGACTTTCTTATCTTTCATCTGTCTGACTGATATTAAAAATATTCATATGATGTTTTGACGATGCATTATTATTTATTCATTCATACTGCACTATAGACTTCGTTGGTCTAGTGTCCTTCGTTCGAATCCCAGGTCGGGCCCAAATCAGATATTGTTTTTTTCAAGCAATTCTCAGTGGCAGCACGGAGTCGGTGGTGTTTTCACCCCCGTGCCTCAGAAAGCAAGTAAAGCCGTAGATCCACCTGCACCTGATCTCTCTGGTCTTGTCGGATTACCGTCCCATCGGACTATGAGTGTGAGGCAACAGAGGATGCACCTGTGCTTGCGCATGCACTCAAGAACTATAATCCTGTCCTAGTCCCCGTTGAGACTGGCCGCCGTGACCGAAATTCGGTCTGGAGGACATTACGAGTATTATTATTTACTAGGTGACCCTCGCGACTTTATTCGCGTGGAATTTACTACGATTTCAAGAGTTTTAATTTTGTTGCACGGAACCCTGGTTATTTTTCCAAAATTAAAGTATTCTAAGTTACTCCTTATAACATCAGCTATCTGCCAGTGAAACTCCCTTCAAAATCGGTCCAGCCGTGTCGGAGATTAGCTGGAACAAAAAGACAGACAGACAAAAATTTTGAAAATTGTCTTTTTATTATTAGTACCGTTTATACTTTCATATGCCTTTAGTAAAAAGCTGTTATTTTAATATTACAAACAGACACTTCAATTTTGTTTATTTGTATAGATTTGTGTATTTATGGAATAAGGGTGACAAACGAGTACACAGTCGACCTGATAGTAAGTGGACGATGTGACCCATCATCGATTAATAATCAAAATGCAGATACGTTATCTACTACTCCTTAAGGTGTTAAATGAAGACTTAGGGCTTCGGGCATATCGAAGAAAAACAGGACATCGTTCGAATGCTCGTCTAATGGACCTGAGACTGAAGAGATGCCGCGCTTTGTTGAAGCGGTACGCGGGAAAAAAATATCGGGAAATTCTTTTTTCGGATGAAAAAATTTTTACCGTAGAAAAGAGCTACAACAAACAAAATGATAAGATGTACGCACACAGTAGTGAAGAAGCGAGCAACCGTTTTCCGCGTGTCCAACGAGGTCATTTTCCATCCTCGCTCATGTTATGGTTGGGAGTTTCTTATTGGGGCTTAACAGAGGTACATTTTTGTGAGAAAGGTGTAAAAACTAATGCAGTTGTGTATCAAAATACAGTCCTGACGAACCTTGTGGAACCTGTTTCTCATACCATGTTCAATAACAGGCACTGGGTATTCCAACAAGATTCGGCGCCAGCTCATAGAGCGAAGAGCACACAAGACTGGCTGGCGGCGCGTGAAATCGACTTCATCTGGCACGAAGACTGGCCCTCCTCCAGTCCAGATTTGAATCCGTTAGATTACAAGATATGGCAACACTTGGAGGAAAAGGTGTGCTCAAAGCCTCATCCTAATTTGGAGTCACTCAAGACATCCTTGATTAAGGCAGCCGCTGATATTGACATGGACCTCGTTCGTGGTGCGATAGACGACTGGTCGCGCAGATTGAAGGCCTGTATTCAAAATCACGGAGGTCATTTTGAATAAACTTTAGTGTCATAAGAATCTATGTTTTGTTAAGTTCATTTTTGTATATAAATGGTTACATAATGAATAAACTTGTTTCAATTATTTTATATTAAACATGTGACAGAATTTATGACCTGACTAGGTATATTATACGAGGGTGGATTGAAAAGTACTCGGCCTAACACAGATCCATTCAATTCTAAAAATCAAATCTATCCACATTATTTAGTTCTGTTCAGACTAGTTCATTGTGTGAAGTTCGAAACGTGTGCGATAATTAGTTGTGATTTTATAAATTTATTAACAAAGTAATCGGACATAATTTCTGCGAATGGAGCAAATCGAGCAGCGTGCCGTCATTAAGTACCTCCATAAGAAGGGGCTATCATCAAAAGCCATCCATGATGACATGGTCAGTACATTAGGCGATTGTGCTCTGTCATATTCATCCGTCAAAAAATGGATAGCAGAATTTAAGCGTGGTAGAGAGAGTGTGAAAGATGAACCCCGCTCTGGAAGGCCTTCGACGTCAACTACTGACGAAAATATTAAAAAAGTACTTGATTTAATAATGGGAGACCGCAGATTAAAAATTAGAGAGATAGCCGAGATTATAGGCATCTCTTATGAACGAACTCAAAACATCATTGTCAACGAGTTGGGTTTCCACAAGGTGTCTGCGAGGTGGGTTCCGCGACTGCTTTCAGTTGAACAAAAAAGGACGCGATTGACTATTTCACGCGACTGTTTGGAGTTATTTGAAGCCGATGCAGATGATTTTTTGAATCGTTTTGTTACTATGGACGAAACATGGGTTCATTACTGTACACCGGAAACAAAACAACAATCAAAACAGTGGAGAAGACCTGGTTCACCACCCCCTAAAAAGGCTAAGTCGATTTTGTCGGCAAATAAGGTGATGGCTTCAGTATTCTGGGACTCGAAAGGTGTGATTATGATTGATTATCTTGAAAGGGGTCAGAATATAAACTCTGATTACTACTGCACCTTACTACGTCGTTTACGAGAGGAAATAAAAGAAAAACGTCGAGGAATGCTCAGAAAAAAAGTCCTGTTTCATCAAGATAACGCCCGTGTTCACACGTCAGTACAGTCAATGGCTGAAATTCACAACTGTGGCTTTGAACTGTTACCGCATCCGCCGTATTCACCTGATCTGGCACCATCAGACTTCTTTCTGTTCCCTAACCTAAAAAAGCACTTGGGAGGTCAAAGATTTTCGACAAACGACGAGGTCAAAGCAGCTGTAGACGCATATTTTGACTCTAAGGAAGAATCATTTTTTTTCAACGGTCTAAATGCTTGGAAGGGGAGGTGGCAAAAGTGTATTGAACTTGATGGTGATTATGTAGAAAAATAAAAATATAACTGATTTAGTATTTGTTTATTTTCTTGGTTAGGCCGAGTACTTTTCAATCCACCCTCGTATATTAGGTCAGAGAAAAAGTTTTTCGTATTTTATATACAAGTTCAAGATATATTTTTTCAAAGTTTAATTACATTTCATTATGTACATATATATGTGACATTTTGTTTGATAACTTGTTGATGTTAACCTAACAATACCCAAAAAATTCTGAAGAGACCAAAACGGGTGAAAATCTGAGGGTGCAAGGTCAGCAATATATGGTGGATGCATTAACACTTCCCAACCAAGCTCTCTCAATTGTTGCTGAGTAGCCATAGATGTGTGTAGTCTGGCGTTATCATGATGAAAGACCACTCTCTTACATGGTAGAGCCATGCTGCAGCTATATTACTGGTATAGTTGTAGCACGAATGGGTCGGCTCGACCAGAGTAGGACCACGCTCTCACAGAATACCAGCGTAAACTAGCAGCATAACGCTGCTGTGTTTCGTATGGTGAGTGTAGAGAACCGGAGACCCTTTTTTACTGGAAACGAGGCATTCCATCTTAGTCCTCACGGGTGACAACGCATCTGAATTTGAATTCGTAATCGAGAATAGATGTAGATGTCTATGGGCCACAGCAACCACCTACTATCAGGTGGACTGAGTGCTCGTTTGTCACACTAATTCTATTAAAAAAAATTCTGTTGATCAATTCCGGTCGTTTTCTCTCAATTTCTTGTTTGAGTTTCATTAGTAGTTGGCAGTAGAGATCTGAGTCGACAGTTTAGCCTGGCGGTAAAAGCTCATAATAAACGATGTCCTTGCAACCCAATCATACACACAGCATCATCTTATTGCGTGTTAATACGGGTTTCGCCACAGTCTACGGAGCTTGACTACGCTTTGACTATGATCTTTTTCGCACATCCTTGTCATAGGTGATCTTTAGGTTCGTTTTCATTACGTTTCAATAAAGAATCGCAAATAAGTACACCATTCATTAGGTTTCTTTCAGTGAGCTCATGTGGTACCCAAATATCGAGCCAGACATTTTCAAATGGGACAAAACTATTTTGTGGTCAATCCTCAATTCCTCGGCTATATCCTAATTACTTATATGCCGATCTTGCTCCACTTTTTCAAAAATGGCATCGACACTATCCGTATGAATATCGAATGAATGAATGAATCCGTTACTTTATCCTTTATCCTTTACTATATCCGACCAGAGCGAGCTGCATCTTTGATCAAAATTCGCGGACTGAAAACGCTTGAATCAACTTTGTGCTACTCTTACTGAAACTGCATTAGGTCCATAAATGTCACAATCAATTTTTTTCGCGGCTTGAATCGCATTTTTCCCTTTTTTGTAATAAAACCTCAGAATGTATCGAATTTCTTCGTTAGATTCACTTATTTTGGCGGACAGAAAAACAATTGAAAATGGCGGGAAAGTGTTTTTACTTTTTATTTCTCTTTTTCTTAATATCCTATATGAATTGATATTAAAACCAGCCAGATAAAAGCAGTACAACCAAAGAGATTTTTCTTCAATTTTATAAAACGAAATACGAATAAACTTTTTCCCCGACAGTAGATGTTTTATTTTAAAAAAAATACCATATTTTGAAATAAAAAGTTGGCAACTTTAACAGGTCAATGACAGAAGCGTGATACCCCAATACCAAGGTCAAGAGGTGCTCGTTATCTTTAAAACGGCACCGGTACATCGCTGCGAAGCCAGTTTACCGTTCACAATTGTTTGGCGACCAGTGTCAGTGGTGTCACACATCGCGACACTCTCGGACCGGTTTCTGGTGAAACGGCTAAAATAATACCAATCAATTCATTAAAAATACCAAAAAAAAATTGTGCGAGCTTTTTGGAGCCTATAACATCAATTCCAGAACTTCGGTAAGTAAGTTAATTTGATATATAAAAATTAATTTTTGTTTGTTCGTATTTCATGCGCTGCCATACTGTTCATCAGATTACGCTAAAGCTTTGTCAACATAACTTGCACTTGCGGGAAAGTTATAGGCACAGTACAATTGACTTACGCGCGCGTATCTTACCGACAAATTTATTTGAGAGTTATATTATACAATATGTAACAAAAAACCTGTGGTTCCCGTTAAGTACGTTATCAGGATCAGTATTCAAAACTATAGAAATAACTTTTTTTGAAAACTCGAACAATATTTTGTCTTATTTTATTTAAAAAAAATTGTATGCATATTGTATGTGGTTTTTTTACCTCTGCATTGTCTGGGGAGTACGAGGATTGTCAAAGACCCCGCTTTACTTAGCTTTAGCATCGGTTAGTGTCAGTAAGAGGTAATAAAACCATATAATTTTTTTTTAATAAAATAAAAAATATGGTCGTTTAAAAAAAAGTTATTTCTATAGGTTTGAATACTGATCCTGATAACGTACTTAACGGGAACCACAGGGTTTTTGTTATATGTTATATATCATTTAATTTTAATGAATGTATTATTCTTTTAGAGACTCTACGACTTATTCCTAAAGACTCTTTCAAATTTAAAACAACTGTTTTTTAATAAGTAGGTTCTGTAAGTTCGTTTCAGTTCAGTTTTGAAGATGAGATGATGACAGTACCAGACGTCTCGCATCTTTAACGCAGCTACCCGTCTCCAGTCTAGATATTTTACGTCTATGCAATTCTGAGACGGTGGATTTTGTCTTATTTGGGTGTTAGTTGTTTAAACTTACTACTTACTTAGACTTTAATACGTGGAAGAGCCACGCTACAACTACAAGTATGTGATGGTGCACGAATGTGTCGGCACGACTGGGGTAGAACCACGCTCTTACACAATATACCACATTAAAATAGCAGCTTAATGCTGCTGTGTTTCGTATGGTGAGTATAGAGAACCAGAGACCCTTTAAATTGGAAACGAGGCATTCCATGTTATTCCTCATGGGTGACAACGCATCTGAATTATGATTCTTAGTCGCTGATAGATATAGAAGTCAATGGGTCACAGCGTCCACTAATCATCAGGTGGACTTTGTGCTTGTTTTGCATCTTTGACGGAGCTACCCGCCTTCGGACTAGATATTTTACGTCCATGTAATTCTGATACGAAGGATTTAATCGCATACGTTTGTACCTACCGATTTTAGTTCGTCGTTGACGCCGCAAAAATTAAATATATTAGACTTAATGGAATGCTACAAATAAGATTAATTTTCTAATGAAAAGAAGCTAGTAATCGGGGAATAATAAATGTTTTATTGCTCTGCTGTAATTATTTCAAAAATTGAGGTTTGCCCCTTTGCGTCGTCAACGATGTAAGGTGGCACAAGTCGCGGGCTCGAACTCGCTGGTGGGCGCGGCCAAAAAGCACGCTGTCTCACCTGGCATCGTGCCCGACAGAGATAGTATCAGTGATGAGCATATCGACACTAGTATTCACGCACGTCTTGTTCGTACGGCATTCAGAACCGTTTGAACAAAAACGAAGTTACACGAACACGATGCAACATTTATACTAATATAATAAAGCAGAAAATATAGATCTTTACTCCGTCTAAAAAAAAGTCCGCGATACCATATGTCTATTTTTTATATACTCGTATAAGCCACAATTAGGCATTTTTATTTTGACAAAAAAAAAATGAAAATTTAATTATTAGGCATGGCATATTTATCCTTACGAACGAAAGTTACTTCATTATCAAGACAATTTTTTGAAGATAAACTTCGTTGTTTATGCCATGTTTATATAGTACATAGTTGAGATAATGTAAAATTAAAATAATTCAATACTTGGCCTTGACGCGCAAACAACGCATAACCCCTAGCCCGGTGCGAACTGAGAAGCCAGTATTGAAAGCTTCTATGAGCGAGGTTAGGTTAGCCGTTAGTTCAATCATTATCTATATCTACACAAATAAATAAAATTGAAGTGTCTGTTATAATGTCAAAATAACAGCTTTTTACTAATTGCATATGAAATTATATACGCTACTTATAACACAATTTTTAACATTTTTCTGTCTGTCTGTCTGTTTGTTCCGGTTAATTTCCAAAACGGCTGGACCGATTTTGACGGGACTTTCACTAGTAGATAGCTCATGTTATAAGTAGTAACTTAGAATGCTTAAATTTTAGAAAAATTATTAGGCGTCCGTGCAACAAAATTAACACCCTAAACTAAATGCGGACGAAGTCGCGGGGAACAGCTGGTAGCTAAAATAAATTCAAAATTAATTGAGTGCTTTTATCTATCTCCCAGGTGAGCGTAACAATGATTAGTTAATTCTGAACTCTTTCATTTCACGTTGCTATGGTATTTTGAAAGTTTAATTGATTAATAAGTTTTTATTTTATTTATTTCTTTAAAAAAAAGACGTTACCCCCACACTAGGATTTTCTCGTGTATCGTGGAGGCAGTTTACAAACACAAATTGCACAAGGACAAACATCCAGACCCGGAACAATTATTTGTAGGCCATACAAATACAAATACTTGATCCGTGCGGGATTCGAACCCGCGGCCCCCTGCTCAGCAACTCATTGCTAAGACACTGCGCCACGGAGCCGTATAAGAGTATAAGAGGTTGATAGCAAATGTATCAAGAATCATTTCTTGCCTACACACTTTTCATGTATCGTGTACGTTTTTCTTTAAAACTGAATAAAACCGCGCATAGTATGCCGACAGATAAAATAAAAGTACTTCATTAATTATGACAATTTTTCCATACATTATTATCAAATAAAATATTTGATTGCAATTATAAAACTAGGTGTCATGTCATGCCATGCATCTCGGACACATGATGACGCGGGTGAAACCGCGAAATGATTAGGCGCTGCTTTATCGCTTCATATTATACCTCTGTGGCTCTATATACCTAATATAGATTGCTTATTTTATTATGTTTAGTTTTTCCGAGTGGTTATGCAGCGATCACTCAAGAGTTCGGCTTCGAACGTGTGTAACTGCAAAAATTATCCCACGGGAACGAAATATTTTATATTACTGGGAGCCGCGGGTTCGAATCCCGCACGGAACAAGTATTTGTATGGCCTACAAATAATTCTTCCGGGTCTGGATGTTTGTCCTTGTGCAATTTATGTTTGTAAACTGCCTCCACGATACAGGAGAAACTCCTAGTGTGGGTGTAACGTTTTTTAAATAAGAAAAAAAAAATTTGTATGGCCTACAAATAGTTGTTCCGGGTCTGGATGTTTGTAAACTGCTTCCACTATACAGGAGAAAATGCTAGTGCGGGGGTAATGTATTTTTAAAAAATAAAATAAAATAAAATTCCAGACTATAACCTATCTCTGAGCAAAATATCATCCAGGTCCCTTCAGCGGTTCTGGCGTGATTGAATAACATACATCCTTTCATTCGTCCATCCAAATATCCAAACTTTCGCATTTATAATATTTAGATAATAATTGTAATTAGTTCTGCTTACCTATAAATTTTTTTCAAAAATACTTACCTGTCTTCTTACTTTTTTTTATATATACTCAATATCACTAAACGTAAACACAGGTTTTTATCAAGACAAGTGACCCATCAAGATTGTTTTCTTAGTACTGACGTACCTACCTAAAGTTTACAATTTTGTGGCCACGACGCGGTGACGTTTTGTGACATTTTGTTGTATTGTAGGTTGTAGGTATCTAGGTAATAACAGTAGGTACCTATGAAAATCCCACATAATATACCTTGTTTGTCCGCCGCAAGAGTCGTCTAATAAATAATTAAACTGTTTTGTAATTCTTTATTTATTTATAACACTTGCATTGAGAGCCGTGGTAGCTCAGATGGTTATCGTTCGCCGTAAGTATCACACTACGCGAGCAACCCGGGTTCGATCCCCGTCGGCACCAATGAAATTGTTGCAATTTTATATAGTAATCGTATATTATAGACTTAATTTTTTTTCTTTTATAATTATATTATATTACAGACGAAAATTGAAATAAAAAACAAAATTGTCTGTCGTCCAAAACGCATCATCTCTTTCAATTATATCAATTTCCATGCTGTCTTTTGTCTTTGGCGTCCAAATTACAAAATAGCAAAACTTTTCGTTTCGAATAAAACTCGAATAAGCCCGCGTCACCGCCCGTGCATGTGTGTGTAAGCGTCGTCCTCCCGCACCGCACCGGGGCAAACATTATTCAGTGAGATGCACGATAATTCATAGTAACATACGCGCGTAAAAAAATACGAAAAGGCCTTTGGAAGAAGGGGTTTTATGAAAAAACCACTGCATAAATTAATTACGAATAAAATTTCTTGAATTCTTCGATAATTGAGCTGTGTCGGTACCGACTTTGTTTTGGAAATTTCACACTTCTTTTATTACTAATTTACGCCCAAAGTTGTGTTAAAATTGGCAATAAAAACGAATCTTTGGTAGCTCGTAACTTTTTAATAACATTTTATTTTACTATTCTGTTTCCGTACAGACAAATTTGATAATGAGACAAAACGATATCATGTTTAACTTTGGATGTACACTGTCAAACAGCGTAGTAAAACCCCTCCGAAATTTGTATGGAAATCAATGGAAATATTGTCGACTAGTGTCACCTTAAGCTAGTTACTTGTTATAAAAAAAAATTCCCGCCAAATCCCGACTGCAATTTTTTAAAATATTATCAGATCATATTTTAATCTCCTATATAAATAAAATGATAGAGGTTTGCAGTTGTGCCCGCATCACGGAAAACTACTGAATAAATTTCAATTAGGTTTTCTAAGTTTTATTTCTTAGACACTTGGCCCTTATCTAAAAAAATGCGATTTTTTCATTTAACATAAAGTTATTAAAGTTTTAAGAAACAATGATTTTTATACGGGGTTTTTCACACGGTCAACTGTATGTCGCTTGCTCTCGCGTTACTGACCCAGAAAATTTATATATTTTAGCTATAAGCGGATCAATGGATAAAATTCTTTACAAAGAAATTTTGTAAGCAAAGTATATTTTTGCTTGCGATCTTTTTGAAGTTTTTTCCTTCACACATACGAAAACTTTGTTAATATGTCAAGCAACGCGGTCGAAGTCGCGAGTATCAGCTAGAAAAATATATTTTAGAGTATCCACGTAAACAACGTAATGTTGTAATCTATCTGAAGCCATGGTATCTTTCTGGGTAATGGACACTTAATATGCCACCATACGTCTATAATATTAAGTAGATTATTATAAAAAATCAGGAGATAGGCGTGCAAACTTTTATAACAAGAAAACAAGTTTCAACAAACTAACACCCGTATGCGATTTAATCCTCCATATCAGAATTCCATTTTGCAAATCTACCGTCTGACTAAATTGTCAAATTGGATCAAAAGAACTGACGATATATTTGTATTTACTTTTGAATTCTATTCTAGCTGACCCCAAAAAAGGAATTCTTAATGCGACTGTACTTTCCTTTTTACATGTGTTACGCGATTTCTTTGTCATTTGTGAACCGAGTTTAACGACTCATTTTATAACAAATTGGTAATACTTCAATGGTTGCCCTATATAAATTTGAAGGTTTTTTGGCGGGAACTTGATCGCGGCGGTTTGCTGCTCCTGTTTTATTGTTTAAATAATAGTTTGAAGTTGACTTTGATATGTAAAAGTGGTCCGATTTTGTGTATTAAGTGTCTGCGCATGTGAACTATTAGTGGAAACTGTGAAACAAGTGCTCTGATGGTAATATGAGTCTCAAAATAAGGTGTCTGTCTGCTTAGGCGCCTTGAGATACCATCTCCAACCGTCAGCTGTCTGCTGGCTCAAGTTTCCGTCAAAATCTCCCAAGGGCTCCACAATGTGATGCATCAACATATTGTGAAGCAGTATACTATGAAGGATAATTATTATAATATATTGTAACTTCAAGCTCAGAAGGGCTAGATCCCAGAGCCGTAAAGCCAGTTATTAAGAATTATAAATTTGAACAAGAATCTCTCTTGTTCTTTGAAGTTGGCATTTATTTTTAATTAAAAGTTTACTTTTATTTGAAAAATTTGCTGTTACCCATGAATTCGTCCGCGTGTAATTTATTAAGATTGGATTTCATGGATTTTAATTTTTTTGCGCGAAACCCTAACCTTTTTTCTAAAATAAAAGTAGCCTTAGTTACTCCTTACGACATAAGCTATCTGCCAGTGTAAGGCCCATTCAAATCGGTTCTCAGGTTTTTGTGTGATGCGTTTTCAGACAGACGTCGTGTTAGTTTTATTATGGTATAGATAGAAGATAGATAGATTATTGCCATCTAGTAGCAGCATTAGAAAATCCATTATTTCTCCATTTAGATTCAGCTTTTTCCATTTAGTCAACTACCTAATAATGTTTTAGATGTCCAGGTATATTGTGGCATCCGATTGATCTCGTATTTATCCCAATCCGCCTGTTAAAATTGGCGATTTTAGTGAATCTAGGCAGATCCAAAATCAAACAGCATAATATTTACAGGACAATTTGTTCTATAATCTGAGTTACCGATGAGTAGCACGCACTTTAAAGTGTTAAAGATATTTGCAAATGAACTTTGTTATCCGTCTATGACTCACAATGCAATGCATTTATCACGTGAACAAAAAACGGTTGACACTTTGACCTTAGATAAGTTTAACTTTATAACGTTTCAAATTAAAAATAAAGACTCTTTCACACAATTTCTTTTTTGGAATAGTTTGTAATTAAATAGAACATAATAAAACAAACATCAAACTAACAACTATATATAACTATATTTTATGCAGGCTTATTTTTCAAATTATAGCCAAATTTTTAACTTAAGTTTAAATGTATAAATAATGATATACCCTTATTGTAATTTTTTTAAATACGAGTAAAGAAGGCTTCTTATTTTATTTGAAATTATCACAAATTGAATGAGATTTATGGGCAACAACGTTTACCCTTCCAACGCCTATCGATCGACCCTTATGAATGTATGTGTGCGCAGTAAGATTAGTTAAAATAGTGCATTACCACGCATTTTTATTACGTGGTAGAGCCATGCTGCAGCTATATTAGTAGTATAGTTGTAGTACGAATGGGCCGGCTCGCCCGGGGAAGGACCACGCTCTCACAGAAAACCAGCGTAAAATAGCAGCTTAACGCTGCTGTGTTTCGTATGGTAAGTGTAGAGAACCGGAGACCCTTTTTACTGGCAAAGAGGCATTCCATCTTAGTCCTCACGGGTGACAACGCATCTGCATCTTGAGTCTTTATTGAGAATAGATGTAGATGTCTATGGGCTACAGCAACCACTTACCATCAGAAGGACAGTGTGCTCGATTGTCACCCTATACTACAAAAAAAAAATTTAATTTAAGAGATAAAAAGGACAGAATTTTTGAGATTTTTTTTAATTAATTTTTCTTCACCATTTATGTATATTAGTTCTTCTGAACCCTCTTTGCAAATTTGGCTGGTTATTGCAAAATAACCCTGTATAACTAATAAATAATAAAAACACTCACAAAATACTTTACACCACATACCTAAACAAATAAACAAGAAACAAAAATACAAAATAACACATTACATTAGATGACAGTAGAATGGGTGGAATTAACGCTAAAACAGATTTCTTCTGACCAAACTTCAGATGAAATTACTTAAAATGAACTCAGAAAAAAAAACTAGACTAAATATAAGTTCATTGTAGAAATATTGAAAGCATAGGCTAACAAGTTACCATTCAATTTCAATAATACATAAACACACACCTGTTACCCAGAGGGGTAGGCAGAGACTACGGACTTCCAAATGGAAGTCCTGACACACCTCTCTCATCTACTTTGCATCCATATACCTACGCATACATGCTCGTCGATTAAGGTTATAAATTTACTTTGGCTCACCTTCAACATAACCAATTTTTTAACATCGCCAATTTGATCGATAAACTTTTGCCCTAGACGAAATCTCTCAACCCTATTTTAATAAGTACTAGTGATCCGCCTCGGCTTCTCTCGGGTGATTTCTGAATTTTGACAACAGCGCCATCTATCGGGTCCAATTGTGAATATAAACCATCCAAAGACACACTCAAACGCACCCAAAAAAATTCATCAAAGTCGTTCGAGAAGATTTTTCTATATATATAGAGATTGTATCATTCATAACGTGTGCATAACGCCTTATTAACTTGATTGTTACATTTTTCAAAACACTCATTAGAAGCATGACTGCCAACCGACCTGCGGTTTAAATAGGTCAGATTGAACTCATTCCAAGGCATGTAAACAAAGATGGTATTTTGTTGCAGATACTGAGGCGAAAACTGAATACCGAGATATTTATTGCAATAATATTTACGTAAGATAGATTATTCAGGGACAATGAGGTAAGTACCAAAGAATATGTAAATAAAAGTTTGTGTATTATTAGCTTTTTAAATACAATTTTTTGTAAGCACAGCACTATTTATTATATATAGAAAAAGGGTGACAAACGAGCACACAGTCCACCTGATGGTAAGTGGATGCTGTGGCCCATAAACATCTGCATTTATTATCGATTACGAATTAAAATGCGTTGTCACCCCTGAGAACTAAGATGGAATGCCTCGTTTCCAGTAAAAGGGGTCTCTGATTCTGTACACTGACCACTTTCTGAATCTCAGAAACAATGCCACCTACCAGTTCCAAGTGTGAATCTAAACCATCCCGGGTCCCGCTCAAATACAAGCAAAAAAAACCTATCAAAATCGATCCAACCGTTGAGGATTAGATATACCGGGTGGCCCATAAGTCCCTTGAAATGTAAAAAAATAATTAAAAAAAAACTAATGACATTATGAAAAAGGTTTTTATTTTGTCATAATCCTTATAAAATGGGAATTATTTTTTAAAAATTACATCATCTAAATGTAATCCGTTACGATCGCGGCACTCCTGTAAGCGACGTTTAAAATTATCCATCACTGCGTGGCAAGTAAGCTCTGTAATGTTTGCCATTTCTCTTTGGATATTTTCTTTCAGGACGTCAATTGTCCGCGGGTTGGTTTCGTACACTTTAGTCTTAAGATAACCCCATAAGAAAAAGTCCATTGGGGTCAGATCTGGACTACGTGGTGGCCAAGGAATATCTCCTCTTCGAGAGATCACTTTATTAGGGAAAAGTTGACGGACGACCGGCATAGCGACGTTAGAGGTATGGGCAGTTGCTCCATCTTGTTGAAACCAGGTCCGCGTATTGAAGCCTGGAAAATTCTGCAACTCTGGTGTAAAAAGTCCTGGATCATAGCTACATACCGTTGTGAAGTAACAGTAAGCGCGCGGCCTCTGCCGTCCTCAAAAAAGTAAGGGCCTATAATGCCATGCGCTGACATAGCCGCCCAAACTGTCACTTTAGGGCTATGTAAGGGCTTTTGATGTTTGCGATTTGGATTTTCGCAACTCCAGTAGCGACAATTTTGCTTATTGACATGGCCGTTGATGTGAAAGTGAGCCTCATCAGAGTATAACACGTTATTAAACGAAGTAGCGGTTCAACATTTCATTTGCGAAATTTAGTCTGTGGATAGTGTCAGTATCTTTTAATTCCTGTACTAACTGAATCTTGTACGGGTGAAGATGTAAATCTTTCTTTAAAATTCGCTGTAACGATGTTCTGGGTAAGTTTAATGCACTGGAACGCTTACGAGTAGACTGGGTAGGATTTTCACGAATTGAGTGTTTCACTACATCGATGTTTTCTTCCGTCCGTGATGTCCTTGGTCGACCTGACCGTTGTTTATCCAACGTCGAACCACTCTCTTCGAACTTAATAACCCAGTTCTTAATCGTTTGAACACTTGGAATGTCTTTAAAGTTGCGTAAATTCTGATATTCTCGAAATTTACGCCGCGCAATGGTAGCCGAATCATTGTTTCGATAAAACTCGCGCACACAAAATGCACGGTCCGCACCGGTGAAACGCTCCATGGCGACTGAATTCCCAGAAACCGTCGGTACTCCCCCCGCACCGCGCGCGCCACTCATGCGCGCCTTTTGTATTTTATTCGAAACTAGCTGTGCCCGCGGCGTAGCTCGCGTATACAGGTTTTACATAAACAATTTGTCGTTTAGGTAAGAGAATATTAAACGATTTATTTCATTACTGTATCAATAAGTGGTAACTAAATAAATCATTATCATCAAAGTTCTAAGTCGTTTATGATAGAGCTTCTGTGTAAACGACGTGAGAAGTAGGCTTAGCCGGGGTGTACACTAAAAGGTTACGGGGGCTACTAACGCGGGAAAAAGCAACATAGAGTTGGCCATGTGCAAAACAGTCAGTACTGAGGTACACTCCTACAACGCGTAAAGTTTGACCTTGCGCTTTATTTACGGTCATCGCATAACACACGCTCACTGTAACTGGGAACTGAACGCGCTTAAAACTGAAAGGAAAGTTACTTCTTAATAGAGGGTTTTTGGGCAGTGCTGCCAGATAAAAAAAAACTCATTCAGCTCTAGGACAACATAAAAAGCGCTAGATTTCATGAAAACAGCGCTTTAAAAAAGCCCTAGATTTCGCGCTAAATTAACTACAAACAAAGTTTGTGTTTTTTTTATATAATCATAATAAAGAAAACAACATTAAGTTTTTTTCCTGGCAATATTTTTTTGATGTATCAATACTTCGCAGGACATCGACTTATAATTATGGCAATTGCTGTCAACAGTAGTTAGTACTGTACGAACAATAAAAATGTCATTAATTGTTTTAAAGTGCAATGTATTTCGCAACTTAGTTTCAGATGTCAGCATCTGATTGCGGTTGCTACACAGTTTCTTTGTGTTATAACTTCTAAGTAACTTTTAACTTAGCTGTGCTCTAAGCAACTGACTGAAACTGAATAAAGCAAAATAAATGCGTTGCCAAAACCATGAACAAAAACTTTAATAAAGGGGATTTCCCCGCTTATAGTCGTCGGTAAAAAAATCAAGTTGATCATCCTAAAGGGGAAGCCAGGAGATCCATAGCACAGGGTATCCTAGTTTGGACTCGTCTCCCATGCTCTTTGTTTTGTGGAAAAAATATGTTTGAAAAAGATAAACTGCAATGTACTTTTTGTGGGAAAAAATAATAAAGGTCATTATTATTATTATCGGTAATGTGGACTAACAGTGCTGCTATAAAAGAGTTAATAACCCGCTAGTCGCTAAAATATTGAAATGTGTGCTAAATACACCAAAAAGCGCTGGATTAAGCTAGGTGCTAAAATTTCGAAATGCGCGCTTAACATTCCAAAAAAGCGCTAAATCTAGTTCCCAAAGCGCTAAAGTGGCAGTACTGATTTTGCGTATATTATAAATACAATATCACGACATTTCGTTGCACAATTTTTATTGTTGGTCGGATTCCGTTGTATGGCTTCGATGGATACAAATTTCTTCAGTAAGTCTCAATACGATTCATTGGCGAAAAATCTCAACACAGCAATTCAGAAAAGTTTGTAATTTGTACAACTCCATCTATTACGTCCTTTGTGTGAGAAAACATCCTTTTTAAATCTCTTTTTGTGTTTTAAGTATAAATATATTAATTATTATGGAACGTATTTTTACATACAAATCTTTTTATTACTATTTCTGAGATTTTAATGCGCCATTGAACAAATTCGAACCTACATTTCAAAATAATAATCATTACTTTCGATAGAATTAACCAATTTTAATAAAACAAAGATTAAATTAATGTAACTCGAAGATACGCTTTATGATTTTCTTAACGATTTCTTTGAAAATAAAAGATGTTTACTTTAGACGTGATGCGTGCATATAATAACAGACAAATAGACATACAGACAATTCTAAAAATTATAAAATGTTCTTATTTAATTATTTTCAGTTCCCCATAATGATTTTAGCCACCAAAATATATACCTATACAATGTACAGAAAGAGACACAACATGTTATCATCATTTTTATTATATGTATATATTTATAGAGAGATGGCGCTGCTAACATCAATTCTAAAAATAAAAGAGATTAATTGACGCGATTGATACATTATATAAAACGCAAGAGAACTTATAAATCAGTGCCTGCACAGTAAGCAAAAATAAAGTTTGACTCTCGCCAAAACCAATTTGTTAATAGATCTTTTAAAATTTGATTTACCACATAGAGTACTCGGCGGTAAAGAATAAATTGAGTTTGTCAACACGCAGTAGGGCAGCGAGTAATATAATAAAGATTAGCAGTAAATATGAAAACTCATCTACAGGAAAAAAAACACATTGCAATTGCATTACATTTTCACAACACCACCATCTATCGAAGAAATGGGAAAACTATTGTGCTTCAGATTTAGTTAATAACGTTAATATATTTTTGTATAATATATTTAATACGTTCTTTAATACTTTTGTTTACTGCGTTTTAGATATACATAATTATATCATTATTTTACATAATTTAACTATGATTTATGATATGATATTAGTTTAAAATGCACTTGATGACTCAAACAAAGCCACCGTTGAGCAAATTCGTACCTATACTTCCCTACCCATACTTCAGAATATTTATCATAACTTTTGATGGAATGAACTGATTTTAATGAAATAAAGACTAAATGTAACCCGAAGATACACTTTATAATTTCCTTAACAATTCTTATGATATAAATTAGTACTTTATACGTGATACGTTAACAAACAAACAGACAGACAGACAGACAGACAGACAGACAGAAAATTCTAAAAATGGTAGAAATGTATTTAATTACTTATTTTTAGTACCCCTCAATCACTTTTATTACAAAAATATAAAATGTACAGACATCTGCTATTTACAGTTTTATTATATGTATAGATTTACATTTCTAACGACTTATGGGCCACCTTGTATAAAGATAGTAAGACCGTGTCATAACAGGCGACAGAATAAACTGAAAAAGGAGAAACCCCCCAGCCAAGCGTGACAAATATGGTAAATATCCTCCCCCCCCCCCCCACTATGAGAGGGCCAATGTTCAGCAGTGGCTTTTGGATAGGCTGTAATAAATGAATAAAAATGTAATAGCTTAACTTTTCTTCACAGGCTGCAGATCTCAATCGCTTTCATTGTGGCAACAAGTTTTAGCGTTGCAAGCTGTATATCGTTAAAAGGTGCGTGTTTAACGTAGTTATTATATATATTTAATTTAAGTGGTAGAGCCATGCTGCAGCTATATTAATAATATAGTTGTAGCACGAATGGGTCGGCTCGACCGGGGAAGGAACACGCTCTCACAGAATACCAGCGTAAAATAGCAGCTTAATGCTGCTGTGTTTTTTATGATGAGTGTAGAGAACCGGAGACCCTTTTTACTGGAAACGAGGCATTCCATCTCAGTCCTCACGGCAGAAAACGCATCTGCATTTTGATTCTTTATTGAGGATAAATGTAGATATATGTAGATATATGTCTATGGGCCACAGAAACTACTTACCATCAGGTGGACTGTGTGCTCCTTTGTCACCCTAAATCTATAAAAAAAAAAAGTTATTTTTAAGCATGTTCAAGGGTTCACCTAGGATTTTTTTAAGTTGGTGACGATGATAATTTATTTATTAAGTTTTTCAAGTTTTTAATTTCAATTAAAAAAAAAACTAAGTGTTTAGCCTAAATCACTCATGGCATTACTCTCTATCGTGTTCGTGAAGTTTCATTACAATCGGTTCAGCCATCCCAAATATTAATCCGGACAGACAGACAAACAAAATTTTTAAAAATCTTTACTTTTTTAACTTTATTATTATACATCATTTAAATAGTTACATTGAAAACTTTATTATCTATTTTTCCATTTTCTTAAGGATGGCATTTTTTCTCGAAGTTTAAAAAAAAGGATGATTAAAAGAAGGTAGTCATATATTTGTCCATAATAAACGAAGATATCGAGTAGCATACACATACAAAAAAACATACACTCGAAATCAGAACCTCCTCTTTTTTTTAAATCGGCTAAAAAGTAGTAATATTCTTTATTAATCTCTAAATGGCATGCAAATAACCCCCTCAGCTCAATATCAGTTTATTCGATATTACACGATATTACAAACAGATATTTACTTACTTCAATTTTATATGTATGCATATAGATAAATTTTACTCGCATGTAGGTAGACTAGCTGTTCTCCGCCACTTCGCCCGCGTGTTATTTGGGGTTTTCATTTTTTTTCCGCGGAACCATAATTTTCTAAAATAAAGTAGTATATGTTACACCAGTGAAAATCCTGTCAAAATCGGTCCAGCCGTTTTAGAGACTAGCCGAAACAAACAGACAGACAGACGGACAGACAGGCAGACACACAAAAACTTTAAAATTGTATTTTTGTTATTAGTACATACCGTATATACTTTCATATGCATTAAGTAAAAAGCTGTAATTTTGACATTACAAACAGACACTTCAATTTTATTTATTTGTATAGATGTATAGATATACATTTTAATTCTACATAATTTTTAGGTTATGTAAAAAATACAGAAATGGGAACAGCATACAAATTATTTTATCGTTCCCAACCGTGGGCAGTAGCCAAAGAAATATGTGAAGCAGAAGGAGCAAAGCTGGCCGTACCCAGGTCTGAGGTAAGTGGACAAATATATCCATCCATCCATTACATCCTCTTAAAGTCTACTGCTGAGCATAGGCCTCCGTCAGAGATTGCCTCATGAGGGGATTATGCCACACTTGGCAAGCGGTTTCGCAACCGCAGTTTTTTTAATTATTTTGTGTTGTTGTAAATTTCACAGTACGCGAGCAACCCGGGTTCGATCCCTGCCGGCACCAATGAAATCGTTAATTGCAATTTTAAGTGCTGATTTACCACATGCTCGGCGGTGAAGGAAAACATCGTGAGGAAACTTGATTATCTAAAAATAAAAACTAAGAAGATTTTTTCGAGGACATGTGAAGTTCGCCAACACGTATTGTGGCAGCGCGGTAGACACTTCCTTGCCCTAAAACCTTCTCAGAAATGAGGGGAGGCCTGTGCCCAGCAGTGGGACTTATGTAGGCTGTAACTTTAAGAGTCCACTGCTGGATATACGATTATCTAGATAGGCCTAAGCCTATGGGGCTATAAGCATGAATGTACCGGATACGGATACGAAGGATATTTATGGAGGAGTATTACGGGAGGACTTGTACTAATTGTCACTCTTGGCAATAACAATGCCAAACGTCTCGCACCTTAAATCATCTATTGGAAGCAACCTACGAGATGAAATAAAGTGACGGATTCTCTTCACCGCGAAATTAATTCGCTCATAACATTACAGGAGGAGTTCCTGTTCATCCAGAAGCTGGTGCGCGGTATGCACTACCCTGCTATAACCAACACCTCAAATAAATTAGTTGTATGGCTGGGCATCAGCAATGTGGACAACTACAAAATCTGGACCAGTGTTGACGGTAACATTCTTGTTACGTATTTTTTTTTTATAGAATAAAAGTTACATACAGCCCACCTGATGGTAAGTGGATGTTGTGATCCATAGACATCTACTTATAATATAAAATACTAATATAGCATCGCTTAAGAATCAAAATGCAAATGCGTTGTCACTCCTGAGGACTAAGATAGAATGCCTCGTTTCCAATAAAATGTCTACACTCACCATACGAAACACAGCAGCATCAGCTGCTATTTAGCGCTGGTATTCTGTGAGAGCGTGGTCCTTCCCCGGTCGAGCCGACCTATTCGTCTACAACTCTAATATAGCTGCAGCATGGCCCTACCAATAAATATATCCTTATTTATTGAATACGTCAGGGGTAATTTTCTTAATAACTACACCAATGATTTTACTTCCACAGTTTGGTAAGATAGATAACGTTCTAATTATTTTTATATAAATATTACAAAAAAAATGGAAGGTTTTCGTGTATAGATGGTGTGGTATTATACGGAAATAATTTACTTTTTAGAGCCGTGGTAGCTCAGATGGTTAGCGCTCGCTGTAAATTTCACCGTACGGGAGCAACCCGGGTTCGATCCCCGCCGGTACCAATGAAATTGTTAATTGCAATTTGAAGTGCTGAGTTACCACGTGCTCTACGGTGAAGGAAAATATCGTGAGGAAACCTGCATGTCTAAGAAATAAGAAAAAAAAATCGAAGACACGTTGTGAAGTTCGCCAAAACGTATTGGGGCAGCGTAGACATTTCCTTGCCCTAAAACCCTCTCAGAAATGAGGGTAGGCCTGTGCCCACCAGTGGGACGTATATAGGCTGTAACTTTAACTTTTTTAATTTACTTTTTAACCAACTTCAAAAAGTAGGAGTTTCTCAATTCGAGTGTACAGTTTCTTTTTGTATGTACGTTACGCGATATCTTCGCAGTTTGTAAACCAATTTTGATGATTCTTTTTTTTATTAAATTTGTTATACTTCAAGGGTAAAAGGCGAAAAAATTCCACCCGTAATGGTAGCAAATAAATAACTTCTTGTTAAAAGTTATTAGTTAAGGTTTGTACTTTTTTTTTAAAGTTATAATTATTTAGTTCTTTGAAATCGACATTTACTCGTCTTTAAAAATATTATTTTTTTACCATTTAGAACGGACTGTGGAATCACAACAACCCAAATGTCATTTAAATAGTTACATTGAAATCTTTATCCTCTATTTTTATATTTTCTTAAGGGTGGAATTTTTTCTCGAAGGCTAAAAACAGGGATGATTAAAAGAAGGTAGTCATATATTTTTATCCATAATTGACGAAGATATCGAGTAGCATACACATACAAAAAAAACACACTCGAAATCGGCTAAAAAATAATGCATGCAATATTATATAACAACAGAACGAACTCTAGACAGCACTCTGCACTTAGCCAACTCTTAACCATCAGCGTAATGTTAGCTTTTGTAATTACTTTAGCAGTAAAATTTAAGCAAGCAAAGCAGGGAGTTTATTATCTTATTGTAGGACGCAGTCACACTAGAGTGGTTAAATAATTAACATAAGTAAACCGTGATAGCTGGGCGACTAGCTGATAAATTTCACAGTACGCGCACTTTGTTTTAAATAAGGGTTACACTGTGTGCTCGTCACAGTCCATTTGATGATAAGTGAATGCTGTGGCCCTTAGTCATCTACATCTATCTTCGATTAAGAGTCAAAATGCAGGTGCATTGTCATCCCTGAGGCCTAAAGGGTAATTGGATTCTGTACCCTCACCACACTATTATTTTGTGAGAGCGTGGTCCTCCCCGACCGAGCTGCTTCGTTCCTCTTTCAGTTAGTGGTTGCTGCAGCCTATAGACATATACATCTATCCTCGATTACGAATCAAAATACAGATGCGTTATCACCAGTAAAAAGGGTCTGCGGTTCTCTACACTCACCATACGAAACACAGCAGCTTTAAGCTGCTATTTTACGCTGGTATTCTGACGAACTAGGCAGAGAAGGAGTCGTAACTAGTAAAGCTTGGTGGCGGCGAGGATCGAACTTGAGTTGCTTGCGTAATAATAAGACTGCTCATGTGCGACATAAATATCACAACATAAAATAAATAAAAAAAATATTTCAGTAATGCTAATCTCGGCGGCAATTGCAAATTAAACATTCATCATCATCATCATTACAGCCCTTCACAAGTCCACTGCTGAACATAGGCCTCCCCCAAAGAATGCCACAAAGCACGGTCCTGAGCCACCTGCATCCATCGACTTCCTGCATGTCTTACCAGGTCGTCACTCCATCTCGTGGGGGGACGCCCTACACTTCGCCTACCGGTACGAGGCTGCCACTCGAGAACCTTTCTTCCCCATCGGTTGTCGGTTCTTCGAGCTATATGGCCGGCCCACTGCCACTTCAGCTTACTAATCCGTTGGGCTATGTCGGTCACTCTAGTTCTACTGCGGATATCCTCATTCCTAAGTTTATCACGCAGAGAAACTCCGAGCATAGCCCTCTCCATAGCTCGCTGAGCGACCTTGAGCTTCCTCATACGGCCAGCAGTGAAGGACCACGTCTCAGTTCCGTAAGTCATCACTGGCAACACGCACTGGTTGTACAATTTCGTTTTAAGGTTTTGAGGTATGTCTGACGAGAAGATGTGTCGTAGCTTCCCGAACGCTGCCCAGCCGAGTTGAATCCGTCTATTGACCTCTCGGTCGAAGTTGGACTTACCTAGTCGGACTATTTGTCCCAGGTAAACATACTCGTCAACAACTTCGAGCTTAGTGCTCCCAACAACTACCGGCATAGGTGTGACATGGACATTAAACATGATCTTTGTTTTGTCCATGTTCATCTTAAGACCTATCCGTTGGGAAACACTATTGAGGTCATTGAGCATAGTGCTTAGGTCCTCCAGCGATTCTGCCATAAGGACTATATCGTCGGCAAATCGAAGGTGAGTGATGTACTCGCCATTGATGTTGATACCGTATCCTTTCCAGTCCAGAAGCTTGAAAACGTCTTCCAATGCAGCGGTGAAGAGTTTCGGGGATATGACGTCACCCTGTCTTACACCTCTCTGCAATTGGATAGGTTTCGTACTCTGGTTCTGTACTCGGATAGCCATCGTAGCCCTACTGTACAAGCACTTCAACACTTCGATATACCGACAGTCAACTTGGCACCGCTGAAGGGACTGCAGCACCGCCCAAATTTCGACGGAATCAAAGGCTTTCTCATAGTCCACATACGCCAGACATAGTGGCAAATTGTACTCTTCGGACTTCTGTACAACTTGCCGAAGGGTATGTATGTGGTCTATGGTGCTAAAGCCCTTTCGGAAACCGGCTTGTTCGGGAGGCTGGAAGTCGTCAAGTCTGCGCGCGAGACGATTCGTAATGACTCTCGAAAACAGCACGTAGACGCGGCTCAGAAGGGAAATCGGTCTGTAGTTCTTCAAGAGAGCGTTGTCACCTTTCTTGAAGAACAAGACCACCGCACTTCTGCTCCACGCCTCCGGTGTAATGCCACCATGCAGGACGGAAATAAAGAGCTTCTGAAGGACTTCAAGTACCGGTCTTCCACCCGCTTTCAGAAGCTCCGCTGTAATTCCATCCTCGCCTGGAGCCTTACCGTTTTTAAGGTGCTGGAGAGCCATTCTAATCTCGCTCAGACTGACATCCGGGATATCTTCGGAATAGTGTCGGATGAGACTCGCTCTTGGATCGTTACTCACACTTGCGTGTGGCTCCAACGATGATGTGTACAGCTGCCCATAGAACCTCTCAATCTCACTCAAAATCTCAGGTGTCCCGGAAACGATGCTGCCACATTCTGTCTTCAGCTTTGACAGTTGGCTCTTTCTGGCAGACAGATCTCTGGCAAAGACTTTGGAGCCTTGGTTCCGCTCGATCGCTTCTTCAATACGAGCTGTATTGAAGTTGCGTAAGTCCCGCCGCATGCATTTGGAGATCTGTCTGTTCAGATGCCTGTATGCTGTCAAGTCTGTTGAAGAATGTAGCTTCATCTCCCGTCTAACAGCCATGAGATTAAGAGTGTGATCGGAGAGTTTTTGTGTTCTTCTGCGGCGGGTCTTGCAGAACTTAGCTCCGACCGCATGGACAGTTTCCACGAGCTTGTCATTCATATCGTCCACTTCATTGCAGTCTTCCAGGCACTGAAAACGGTTTTGTAACTCGAGCTGAAAGGTTTCGGGACTTTGGAATAGAGCACGAGGGGGACGGAGCGTTGACTTCATTAGACGAGACCTCTCCAACTTAACGTTTAGGTTCAGTGTGCCTCTAACCATTCGGTGATCGCTACCAGTTTTCACCCTCGCGATCACGGAGACATCACTGAACAGTTGTCGTCTGGTCGTCATAATGAAGTCAATCTCATTTTTTGTGGAACCGTCGGGGCTCGACCAGGTCCACTTCCTGTGGGGCCGCTTCTGGAAGAAAGAGTTCATCATAAAGAGTCCCTCTTTCTCCATGAAGTCGGCCAGCTGCTGGCCCCTTGGGTTCCGTTGCCCTATTCCAAATTTCCCTGCTTTCAGCTCACCGTTCTCTCTTGTGCCTAGTTTTGCATTGAAGTCTCCCATTAACACCGTATATTGGGTTTTGGAGGAATGCATGGCTCTAGAGATATCCTCATACATTTCCTCCACCTCCTCATCGGGGTGTGCCGAGGTTGGTGCGTAAACCTGTATGACCTTCAGCGAATACCGTTTGGTGATTCTGAGTATAAGGTACGCAACCCTCGTCGACACACTCCCGATCTTTACAACGTTGTTAACGAGAGACTTGTGGACGATAAATCCGACACCTCCTTGGGACAGATGGTCGCCCTCCCGGTGATAGAGCAAGTTGCCGGATTCGAGGATTACCGTGTCCTCCCCCTCTCTTCGGACTTCGGATAATCCTATAATATGCCAGCGCAACTTGTCTATCTCTTCTTCCAGCTCCACAATCTTCTCGTCAGTCCTCAGGGTGCGTACGTTGTACGTTGCCAGGTCGAGTCGTCTAAGGTGGCAACCGAACCTCCACCGGAGATTCTTAGCACCCCCTGCCCCGCCGTTACCATGGTTGCCACCGTAGCCAGGAATAGCGGGGCCGCCGGGGACTGGGGGCCGTTTCTTTGTTACTGTCATTCATAGGGGGGTATTTGCCATAGTTGCCACGCTTGGCGAGCGGGTTGGCAACCGCAGTTTTTTTTTATTGTAATTTGGCTATTATCAGGAAGATGCTGCTGCCCATCTCCTGCCTGTTTCCCTTTGTCGCCTTTTACGACACCCACGGGAGGATATGGGGTAGTGGATATTCTTGACCGCCACTACACGGCAAATTAAACATTAGGGCATATGGAACGTCTCGAACCAGCCATCTTGCCATTATATAGCATGGCAAAGGTGAAGAACGTCAAGTTAATGCTAATAAATTTTTCATGTACTCCTTTTTGACCTTAAACAAACGTACATCTGTGATTAATACGTCCTTACCTTCCATTAAAAAACACTTAGACAGGGAAAATACATTATTCTAATTCGTTTCGTGTTGTTAATTATTTTGTAACTTTAATGATTGTGAACTGTTAGTAAAAAAGTCTCGCTGAGTTTCTTCCTGATTCTTCCCAGGAAAGAGGTATTTTCCAAACCAGTAGTAAATTAAACATAAGAGAAACTAACAACAAATATTATTTATAAATTTATAATCTATATTGAATAAGAAAGTTTTTATTATATTCTAAGAAACAAATTATTTCTGTAAGTTTAGCGTGCGGGCTCACTACCACAGTGAATGTTCGTCCTTGTTGCAGCCCATCGGCTGGGAAATAACTTGCAGCGATACAGTCTCAGAATTGCTTTCCAGACTCCTCTTTATGCACGACTATAAAGTTGTATCAGTCAAGAATTTAGCAGTAAAACACCGGGAGCGCTATTTAGCGCGTAACGAGCTATAAACAGCGAGGCACTCGGAGTTCCACTAGCCAGCCATTACGCGGGAGTGCTAAGTAAACGTCAGGCAAACAAATGGCCTCAGGGTTGTTAAAAGCATAATGACCGGTAGCACTAGCATCTTTAGTATGAACGTAGGATGGACGATGAAGTACTAGACTTGTAAAGATATAATACTAGTGATTTGTGTAGAATACATTAGCTAAAGAAAATAACTGCAGTGTGCATTGTATAGTAACTCAAGAAGCAATTGTTTACTGGTGGATATCAATCCGCAACTGCGTTAATTTTTCAAGTGAAAACTTCTTTAAGATTATTGGGATTTGAAACTCGGTGAAATGAAACAGCGACACAGCGACACTTAAAAGAGACAAACATATATTTACTTCTATAGGATTTAGCCAGCGAGAGAATGAGATAGAATATTTTATTAAATTGGTCATGTTTAGGCCATCTAGCGTCTATTTTACGTACTACCTTGAGAGTCAAATTTTTGTTCGATAAAATGACTTAACCTATAAAATTAAGTTGATGGCGCATTGCAAAGCAATTTTACTCGTAAGAAAATATTTTTTTGATTTATTACACTAAATTTAGGCTCTATATGTCTAAAAATAAGGATAAAAACATTTATTAGTTATTAAATTAAACTTTTATCTTATATTTTATACCACATTTGTAATTGAAAATTATTATATTAAATAAATCATTTGTCATGAATTTTAAATAATGTGTATTTTATATTTCAATTTATTTGTAGGTTTCACTTTTACCGCGTGTGAATTGCACACATGTTTTTTTTTTAATATTTTATTAATCTTTCATTCTTTACATAGAGGGAATATTTGCCGCGCTCGGCCGGCAGGTTGTCGCACCTTTTTTTATTATTTTGAATTCTTATTAGGAAGATGTTGCTTGTTTGTTTTCCTCTGTCGCCTTATACTTACGATGCCTACGGGACCATATGGGGTAGTGGATATTCTTACACCACCACTGGCTTTCCGGTTTAAAATTTATAATCGTCTTTTGAAGCACTAGAATAGAATAGAATAATTTTTATTCAATATAGATTAAAAATAATTCTCATTTAAAATCATTTTTTTTACTTTTACCATTGATTCGGAAACAACCTCAGTCCTTTAAGAACCAGCAATAAACTCAGCGGGACGTTTTTTAAAGTAAGATACAATAAAACACACTTTGCACAAACTACCTTATTCCCAGGGATTATTCTCAACCATATATTGATTTATATTATTATAACCCTTTTTATACAGCTTTTGTTTAATTAAATATTTAAACTAGGCAATAGAGATA